GATTCAATAATGCCGACAAGCGTATTCCACCCCCTCCACCCTCCACGACCCGCTTATATCCTGCTCCCCCGGAAGTGGAGACCAATAGGCACAGCGATGTACGACATATCGGCGGGACAGAGCCGAGGAGCGGTACACTGAAAAAATATTTAGGTCTCCACGACAAAAAAAAATTGTAGCTGCAACTAAAATGGTGTTCAGTCTGCCCGATTAGTTATAACAATAAGACGTTCGGCTACAATCCGATGTGTTTGAGTGGAGCTTCCAAACACTCCAAGCACGTCAGAACGTCTCATGGTTGTGAATCAGAGGGCAGGACTGAACAACAATTCAGTTACTTCAACTTCAATGAGGGAGGGTTCGGACGTCAGTTACAACAGCCAAAATACTTTTCCTCCGTGTAGAGCGGTGGTCGGTCAGTGTCAAGAGAATGACAGTACACGGACAGAAATAAATCGGTCGTCAGAACTAAATTCTAGTTAATTTCGGATCAAAAATTATTGAGGTAACTAATAATTTGTTGTCAGAACCAAGATTAAGTTGCCAGAACACAAGCTGTTCGGTGCTTGAGCTAAACGCATTCGTTCTAAAAGCAAAACAACGAATTGGCTCTTGCAGCGACATGATTTGTTTTAGCAACCAACTCTTGGCTCTCTGACAACTGAATATCCGTTACCACAACTACACTGTAAGAAATTTTCAGGGCAAAATTACGCAGGTGGGTGAGTAAACGCCCCTTTCCCGGGCCGCAATGAGTAAATTTCCCGGTCCAATTACTGACTAATTTCGCTATCCATAGCATGGGACATTTCCATGCACATGGATAGGGGAACATGTTTTGCGTATCCACATGGTAATCTTCCATTTGTATAAATTCTAGACGTTTGCGTATCCAAGTGGTAATTTTAATTGTGGATAGGTAAGACCGCATGTCCCTATCCAAATGGTAAATTTGCACGTGCAAAAGTAGATCAGTTAGTAAGAAGAAAAAAATGACGATATGCAGGTTCCCAACCTGTTGGCGTTCCCCTCTCAACTGCTATGAGCGGCTGGTGCCTGCCGATATACCGAAATATCTGTTAGACCTGATGGGAGTAGAACCCGTAACCTCCGAGCTCGAGAGCGCGCACGCTACCCCTCACCCATCGGCTACCTTTGGGAGGGGACGCGCCGATAGATGATGTCTTCTCAAAGGAACGAGGTCTGTTTACATCTATAGATTGTCTTTGCTTTCAACGGTGACGAAATGGACGACACGGACTTCCATCTAAGACCCACGACTCGCTCTTGCATTCGATAGTCTGTCGCGTGTCAGGAATCCTATGGCATGTAAACACCAATCCAGTGCTTCCTAAAATTACCATTTGGATGTGTAACTGGCATCTCCCGAAGCACCCAGCAATTTTCGACATCATATGAAATGTAAATTTACCATGTGGATATGTAAATTGCCATGTGGATATGTAAACTACCAAAAAAAGTTCAAAAAGTAATTTTCTCTGAACAAACGTAAATTTTACCAGTTAT